AGATATACATGTTTTTATGTAGGAGTAGGTTCTACCCTCTTCCTGTTATGCTGGTGTGTTCAATGCATACATATTTACAAATATATACACATATATATATATATACATGTTTCTATGTAGGATTAGGTTCTACCCTCTTCATATTATGCTGGTGGGTTCGATAGATATATACATATACATAGAGAGAGAGACGTACATGTTTTCTTGGCTTTCCTTTTTTTCCTTTCTCAACCTACATCTAATCATAAAATAACAGCTCATAGATATTATTATATTTTGTGTTTACTTACTGAGATTTGTTGCGTTTTTTGGGGTTTTTTTTTTTTTTTTAAGAGTTTCTTCCTCTTTGAGATGGTATATATTATGTATATATAAATGGATATATGTATATATATGGTGAGCAGGTAGCGGAGCAGCGAGGAAATGGGGAGGTTGTCGGTGTGGTTAGGGGCTGCATCAAGCATGTGGGGACTAAATTTGGAGGAATGTGTGTCAACTTGGGTTGCATTTTAGGCCTTCGGGTCTCTCCTACACATAGGTAATTCTAACTATATCATATACAGTTTTTCTCTTATAGTGTGTGTGTGTGTATATATGTATATTCATATATATATGCATATGTAATTGATTTCTGTTATATATAAACAAGTTTTAATTAAACAGTTCATGATTACTAATTATGAATTATTTAATTAAACCTATGTGGGTGTATAGACAGAAGGAAAATGGATATAGAACTATATATATATATTCTACTAGTTTGTGTTTGTGTATTTATATGGGTATATGTATCTATATGTTTATATGTAGTAATTTATATATGATGTATTAGTTGTAATTAAACCTATGTGGGTATCTAGACAGAAGGAAAATGGATATAGAACTATATATATATATATATATTTTCTACTAGTTTGTGTTTGTGTATTTATATGGGTATATGTATATATATGTTTATACGTATTAATTTATATATGATGTATTAGTTGTAATTAAACCTATGTGGGTATATAGACAGAAGGAAAATGGATATAGAACTATATATGTATATATATATATATATTTTCTACTAGTTTGTGTTTGTGTATGTGTGTTTATATGGGTATATGTATATATATGTTTATAGGTAGTAATTTATATATATGATGTATTAGTTGTAATTTGGATTTTGTAGGAGGAAGGGAATTGGATTAAAGCTTGTGAATTCAATTGAAGAATGGATGGTTAAAAACGGTGCGCATTACACCTTCCTAGCAACGGAGAAGAACAATATGGCCTCTGTGACTCTCTTCACTACTAAATGCAACTACGTAAAGCTAAGCTCACTAATCATATTTGTACAACCAGCTAGTAATTTCCCCGTCGAGGATACGACGTCGTTTGGTTCACCAAGCTATAAAAAAATAGAGAAGTTGCACGTAGACCGAGCAATTTCCTTCTACAACAAAAAACTTAGAAGCAAAGACATGTATCCGACGGACATGGATGGGATTTTGAAGGAAAATCTAAGCCTCGGTACCTGGATATCTTACTTTCAAGAAGAGAAATGGAGTAGTTTGCAGAGAAAATCAGATACGAAGATCAACGAAGAAGAACAAGAAGAAGAAATCAGATTGGGTGAAAATAGGATTTCTCCAAGCTCTTGGGTTATTTTCAGCATATGGAACTCTTGTGAGGCCTATAGATACAAGAATATTCATATAACAAAGTCACATCCTATAAGGTACTTTCTTTTAACCAAAACTTGACTTCATTTTATTTCTAATTTAGGAGAACCGGAGTTTGAATTCTCTAAAATATTGGTTAGCATTATTGCTAATAAATATATTAAGGTACGTTGAAATTTACAAATTATCATTTTCAACCTATATAATCTTATGACATTTTTATCTTATCAGCACGACGATTCGAAGTATAAGCCATGCACGAGACATGATCTTCACATGCCTTAAAATGCCAACGATCTGCAGCAGGTCGGCAACGACGTCGTCTACATCATCAACCTTATCAGCGGTGGAGAAGCCATTCGGGTTTCTCTTCCTCTACGGACTCCTCGGAGAAGGCGAAAGACTCGGTGAGCTCTTGAAGTCTGCATGGAGCTTCGCGTCGAGACTGGCCGAAGACGTGAACTGCAAGGTGGTGCTGACCGAGCTCGGAGTCTCCGATCCGCTTATACCACACCTGCTGCCGCCGCAAGAAGCCGCTGGGTCCGCCATGTCCTGCATCGATGATCTCTGGTATGTAAAGAAAGTAAGCTCGACAGATGAGAAAGACGATGATGAGGTAATCGCGGAGATCGGCGAGTTTGGGAATGTGTTCATTGATCCAAGAGACTTTTAGGGTTTTCCTGGACGCTGGTGTTGTACTGGATATGTTTGATGAATCCTAAAGCTCAACCATTGCTGTAATGGAGTACTGCTGGTTTTTAGTGGAGACTGATCATGGAGTTTCCATTACTTGTAACATTTTGTTTTTATGCTAAGATTAAATTTAATACACTAAGGAATTATAAATTTTAATTTACAACTTTTAACTTTTAACAATTTGTTAATACACCAATTGGCAAAGCACATGAAAAATATACGACGTACTTTTGTTGGTGGTTTCTCTGTATGGCAAGACATACATACACACACATATATATATATATGTACGTGTATATTATCTACCTTCAATTATATCTTTAAGAACATTTGCATTTCCCTCTAAAAACATTTTCCGAAATATCTTTAAACTTCTAAGAAGTAGTTTAATCTATTCTTTAAAGTCTGGGAATCGAGTTCTATGAGTGTGTGTATATACATATATATATATATATATAATTCTAACATATCCCCCCAAAAATGATTTACGCTCTATATCTTTTAGTATTATACATTATATGTGAAATTACAAAATTGGGCATAATTTTTGTGTCACGTGACAATTCTCGGAGCAGCAGGTTTGGAACGAACAGAGAGAGACATATCCCGCGCGATCCTCTACCCTCCCGTCAGTGAGGTGGAAGTATATTCATGGCCCGCCAAGTAACGACCCACCACCATGAAATACCTCTAACGAGCTAATAATTGCTGAACCTTAACAGATGACATGAGACCCACAACTTTGTTGCTGGATCAAAAGCCCCACCTCGAGATCAGCCTATCAATTTTCCATTACTTACACAATGCAGCATACCTGTAACTAACAGCATGATTAGTTTGAGTAATTGGTACTCAGACAAATTTATTACAGTCGTAAACGAAAGCTAATATTTTGTGTGTCAGGGTCGATTCGGTGATTCTAACTCTAACCCTAATTCTTTTGGGGTGAAATTACTGTTTTGCCATCGGTTGCGATAAAATTACCTCTCTATCATTTCTTCTTTTAATTGAAATAATATATCAGAGCCGTTAATCAATTAACAATTCTGTCTGTATATGTAATCATGGTTTCTGTACACAACGTTATGATAAATATGCAGGCATGTCCAAATTCATGGCTGCTGCAAAGCTGCTGAGGTTCGTTTCATAGATCTCCATGTTCTTTTTGACGAGACCTCCACCCGAACATCCAGCTTTTTGGGATCTAATGACAGCTTCGTGGTGATGAACTCGTCCAAATCAAACCCGCTTCCACTATTTTTATCGCTGCTGCCTTCGCTGGAACCCAGGGGTAGGCTGCTCGGTTGTACATCGAAGTTCTCCGACGACCGGAATTGTGGGTTTTGCTCCATGTTCAACAGTCTTTTTATGCTGCCAAGTGCTGGATCAAAGATGTCTAGAAATCCTGTGACCCAGGAAGCATCATCCACGACTTCGGTTCTCTGTTTTCCAATAACAAGAGATAGACACATGATTAAAGACCTTGGTTTAATAAAGCTAAAGTATTGGATGGACATTAAATAATCAAGTAATTAAGAAACAAATAAACATGTAATATGTTGATTCACTCCGTCTGAATTTAACCAAGTCTATTCCCAATAAAATCAACCTCGTAAGAGTATTAATCTAAGCTTGTTTCTGAACAAAAAGCTACATATACACGTACATATATACATGCAGATATAGGAGAAACAGTGGCTAGGATACATCAGAATATGCACCCTGAAAAACACTGTACTGTTAAGTTGTTCTAGTACACATTAAACACAAAAAAGAAATATATGTGTGTGCGTGTGCGTGTGCGTGTGCATATATAGGAATAGGTTTTGATTTGGTGCACTGTGTTTGGATAAAATTAGAAATCTTGAACTAAATATAAAGGGACCAGACTTGTTTCAGATTTGTTGTGTGTATATATAGAGAGATATTTGTTGATTATAGAATCCAAGTTTGTAACTAAATTAGAATGATTTATAGTGGATTTGATTCAGAAGTTAGCATGTAGTTTTCTTTTGTGCTTAAGAGTTTTGCACGTAAAATTTTGTGTTATTGTATTATTTTTTACAGTGTTATTAATTTTTTTTTTGGAATTAAGATTCACTAAATTTATACAATCAATATTATCCAAAATACAACATACTCTGCAACCAACAATGAAATGAACGTTTCGGGTTTGGACCTTTCAACTTCAACAATACACAGAAAAAGAACAAAAAAACTGAGCCCAATTCTACTACATAGAAACTGGTTGAAGTAAGTGAAATAGTTTCCTCATTGTGCAAAATTTGAAGGGAATCACTAAAAGATAGCAATTACCTACCTGCTGGAAGTAGAGATTACGAATTTCCTCGGCTCGTACAGCATTCCCTTGATCCTCCTCGAATGATGCCCACGTCATCCATGTTATATAACTCTGTGAATTTATATTAAGGGATGATCTAAACAATCTTCTGGCAGCAGATAGGTTACCGGCTCTCTGCTCTAGTACGCCCCAAGCCTGTAAAAGACGCCCATTTTCAGCAGTGAACAAAGTGTGACAAGATACAAAGAGGATCAAACAGCTATGTTATAATGGCCTCAATATCTCCATGCATCATGACATGTTCATTACCTGCAGACATCTAGCGGCACTCTCTGTCGTAGAGTCAATTGAAAGTGCTCTTTGGTATAATTCTCTTGCTGTTGATATGTTTCCTTCCTTCCATTCCATCCAACCCCAAGCCTGAGCAAATCAGAACTTCAATGAGACATCAAATTTCTACAGAGGCTAAAGTTACCAACATCATCTTTAAATAATTGATTAATGTTTTCAAATACTTAAACTAGAAGCAGAGTGCCCAATTTATTACTTATATCATATTCCGATGCAGACCAAGGCTTTTTGGCCTAGTATTCATACCCTTCCCTCTAGAGAGAGAAGTTCAGGTTTAATATTAGATCTGCTAGCATAAATTGCCTCCATATGGCAAAATCACCAGAGTCAAAGAAACTTCAAATATGCAAAGATAATATCAAGAGACAAATATGCACTCTGAAGAAAATATCTGACTAGATTAAATAATCTCCTTGAATCCAATCAAAGATGTTAATGTTTCATGAGTGATGAATATATAAGAGGAACTTCTCCATTTACCAAACCTTGGATCATAGTTCGTATCATATTTTTATGCTTATTGAATTAACCAATAATTTAAGAGGGTGAATTTCTTACAATCCATACAGGTTGGTGATTTGGATCCAGTTCAGATGCTCTCCGGAACAACACTCGAGCAAGATTTGCAGTTGAGTGTTTATATTCTAACAAAGCAAGGGACTGAAGGAGAACTGGATCCCTCGGATTGAGTGCATGACCTATCTTCAGAAGTTTTCTTGCTTGATCAACATTGCCCATATTAGCTTCAAAAACTCCCCACACATGCCATGCAAACCTATTCTTTGGGCTCGCCTGGACAGCTTTCTACAAATTGAAAACCAAACAAACATTAGAACCATAGTGGTAAAAAAAACCACACAAAAGTTCAAAAGAGATTCTCATGGTAAAGGAAACCGCCAAAAGCTCCAAAGATTTGAAGTAAATCTGATATAAGAGCAGATTAGAGTTGCTTATAACACTGTTGTATTTGAAGCGATATCCTGCCTCAGAGGATTGCTGTTTGTGACATAACTATTTGGTTACCTCAAATAGTTGCCTGGCAGCACAGTTGTTTTCCTGTTGTATCTCCAGTTGTGCCCATGCCTGCGCTATGAGAATTGGACAGACAGATGCAAGAATTGAAATTTCATAAGTGCACACTGATAGAATTGGTACAAATAGAACCAAAAATATATATGTACAATGCTAAAGACTTACAAGCCAACTGGCACAGCTCTTAGGATTACATTTAGTTGCCTGCCTGAATAAGTGACGAGCCTGCTCATACCGTTCTGCTTTGGCCTCCAGTAATGCTAACGTCTGGTATATGTACTCATTCCCACCGCAGAACTTGAGACCTTTGGCAAGCAGATGTCTCGCTTTCTTGATATTTCCCTGTTTTATCTCTAGATTTGCCCATCCATGCCACGCTGCAACATGTTTCTTGTCAGCCACTGTGGCTGCATCAAACAATTCCCTAGCTCTCCTTACATTTCCCACCTTCTTTTCCAAGATAGCCCAGCACTGTTCCAATCACACGCCCACTCAGAAGCCTTCTAATTTTTAATAAAAAAATCAGCATTCAACAACTCTCGTCCTCAAAAATGAGGTTTATCTATTTAACAAAAAATTCTTTCATATATGCTTGCCATAATATGGAATGGCCACCCTTCTTGTTGGAATTTTGTGAATAACTCCAAAGTACATCCAAATTGAACATGTTATGGTGAATCACTTTCAGTAATGTTCAAGGCTAACAAAGAACTACCACTATGCTCAAGCTACTAAGTGTAATACTCTCATTCCATACTGGAAATATATGCTTCGATGGTTTAGACTCAAAAGTCATATAATTAAACCTAATATTACATAGTAAGTTTGACTTTCGACATAATCTGATTTAACAGCCAATATGTAATTGTTTCTCCATCAATCTTGTTGTGCTTTATGGAAAATTTTCTTAAGTAAAAATTAATATGTTTCACTAATTAGATGACACCAATGCAACAATGATATCACAATCAGTAATAACACAATATCCTAAGAAGGATATCCAGAAGCAAAACCCTTGACTTGAACCTACATCATTATAGAGAATGATACAAGTATCAATTATCCAACCAAAAGTACTGAAAAATTGAGCAAACATATTTAGAAAAGTGTACTTAGTTTGGTGAAGATAACCTGTTTCATGGCGAATTTACTTGGAAGAATTCTGAAAACTATGATTTATTTCTCCATCCCCAACCACAATACACTCAATCCTCAGACACAACAGTTAACAATAATTTCGCTTAGCTTGGTGAATCTGCTTGGTAAAAAAGCTGAAGTACTATATTGCTATCTAATCTTGTAAAGTCGAGACACAGTACAACAAATAATTTTTTATGCAAAGAATTTTATTGCTAGAAGCAATAATCACCTTGTATCAGCAGAATGATCTTTGAAGTAGGGTATTTCTGTATTAAAGTCATGCTTTGAATAAGTGATCAGCCAAATAGC